AGGCCCCGGGTCGTCAGCTAGCCCATTTACTGTCTGGTTTCTGTTTATGGTAGAGTCAGGGACAGGCACCACACCTGCGTTCCCAGGGCATCAAAGGCTGACTGCCTTTCTCTTGCTCTCTGGGTGGGGGGGGAACAAGATGGGGTTTGTGGAAAAACAAGATGGGGTTTGTGTCTGGCTACATTCCACCCCCTTGACACGCCTCACTATGTCCCAGAACGCAAGATGGCGGTGATGCCAGCACCCTTTGCCCTCCTTGGAGGAAGCTAAAATCGCCCTATCAGCAGGGTCTGATCAGATAATTTGGATCAAGGGATTGATTAGGATCGCTTCCCAATGCCATATACCAGATTTGTGCAGAGGAGGTAGCAGTGTACACAAAATGCCTAACAATACATAGAAGCATGCAGCAAGCAATTACAACAAGTAAAATGGTTAATATAGTATTTACAATAGAGTGAAGGAATTGGCACGGGCACCGTAGCCAGCCCGTGCCTCTTTAAGGGGTCCGGGGCCGGGAGGGGGGCAGACGAGTTTCCCTGGTGTTGGCCAGAGTGGCCACCAGGGAAACCTGGGGAGGGCTAGCCTCCCACTAGTTCGAATTAAGGGTCTACACAGCTCTTAATTCGAACTAGTAAATTCGAACTAGGCTTAATCCTCGTGGAATGAGGATTACCTAGTTCGAACTAAGCGCTCCGTTAGTTCGAATTCAATTCGAACTAACGGAGCACGAGTTTCCCTGGTGTTGGCCAGAGTGGCCACCAGGGAAACCTGGGGAGGGCTAGCCTCCCACTAGTTCGAATTAAGGGTCTACACAGCTCTTAATTCGAACTAGTAAATTCGAACTAGGCTTAATCCTCGTGGAATGAGGATTACCTAGTTCGAACTAAGCGCTCCGTTAGTTCGAATTCAATTCGAACTAACGGAGCGCTAGTGTAGCGCCTATGAAAGTTAGTTCGAACTAACATCCGTTAGTTCGAACTAACTTTGTAGTATAGACATACCCTATGGCAATAGCTAGCTCAAGCTATGTCTACCATGTCCAAGGAACACGTGTTTTTCCAAAAAGCATTTCAAAGAAGCAGACGTGTTTTTTCAGCATTCCTGTAAACCTTGTTCTACGAAGAAGGGATGTTCCGAAAAAGGTTTTTTTTTCCCAACATTTGGCCCCGTGTAGACAAGCCAAATGTCGAAAAAGCTTCGGAAGAAAAGCGGAAAAATATACGCATTTCCAAATTTTTCCTGCAGTGTAGACACAGCCTCAGTGGAAGAATTCCTCTGCTGACCTAACGCTGTCCATATGGGAGTTAGGTTGGCTTAAGAACATGTCTCAAAGGTGTGGATTTCTCACCCACCTGAGAGATGTTGCTATGCAGATATAACTGTTCAGTGTAGGCGAGCCCTAATTAGAGATACCATCAGCATGAAATTCAGCCATTTTCAAAATCACAATCAGGCCCACCCCGAGAAGTCCTGTAAATGTATGTGATTTTACCCTGACATCTTGCTTTTTAAAACATTTTTGTTTTGCTGTCGATGTATGATCTAACATAGCAGCAGTGAGGCTAATGGATTATGGAAGGAACCAGTGAAACTAACTTTCCACCAATGCCAGATTATACATCCCTTCCTTCTAGTGAGGGCCCCCTTTTCACCCAACTAGTTCCACTGAGTCAATGGCACAAATCATATGGGGAGATGTTCACCAGAAAATGATAGCGTAGCAAAGAGAAACTGTGCAGCGGGAGTGAGGAGGTATGTATGCCAACTTTCTAGTCCCACAAAACTGAACGCCCTTGTCCCACCCCTATTCTTGTCCCTCCATGAGCCATGTGGAACCAGGGCAGGAGGGAGCCTTTGTAGCCCTGTTGCGCTGACGAACAAAGTTTTCGGGTTTTGTCAGAACTGCCAGGATCCCTTTGTGACCAGGTGTTCCAGCATTGCCCACCCCCAGTAGGGGGGGACATTTCAGATGGGGGGGGGCTACCTGTGCATGTCATGATGTGGAGAAGGAAAAAGTGAGAGCATGGAGGCTTCAGTAGTGTTACTAAGCATGCTTAGTACAAGCCAAGCACCAAATTGGGGGAGGGACTAACCCCATCTGCCCTTCCCCCTGCCCCCCTCTCCCCCCACACACACACATCATCTCTATCCCAGAGCTACTAATGCACTGGAAAACTCTACTTTTTTGGCAGACACCTTAGCAGTTAGCTGAAGGAGCACTGTATCTAATTCCTATCTAAAGGAAAGAAAATTAAATAAATATTAGACCCACTCAGCTCTAACACTAACATATTTTGACATCTTGTGGCAAGTCACTAAAGTGACACTGGTTAGCCTTAAAATTTTAATATATATTCTTACTTTGTTACTAGCTCTGTGGCAAAAGACAGACCCCATCAGGACTCCTGGGCTCTCTCTCAGCTCTGGCGAGTGGAGGTCTAGTAGGTTATCGTAAGGGGCAGATACATTTCAGCTTTATATAAGAACAGCTGAATGGTCATACTGAGTCAAACCAATGGTCCATCTAGCCCTGTATCCTGTCTTGCAACAGAGGCCAATGCCAGGTGCTTCAGAAGGAATAAACAGAAGAGTCAATCATCATGATCCATCCCTTGTTGGCTATACATTTAAATGGATCAGCTTCTTGTGTTATGTAGTGAAGGAATGAATAACATTTCCTTATTCTATTTTTTCCATATCATTCATGATTTTCTAGACCTCTAACATATCCCCCACCCTTTAGTCATTTCTTTTTCAAGCTGAAAAATCCAGGTCTTGTTAATCCCCCCTCATATGGAAGCTGTTCCTTACCCCTAGTCATTTCTGTTGCCTTTTCTGTACCTTTTCCAAATCCAATATCTCTTTTTTAGATGGAGTGACCAGATCTGCATGCAGTAGTCAAGATGTGGGCATACAGTGATTTTATATAGAGGCATTTTGGTATTTTGTCTTATCTGTTCCTTTCCTAACTATTCCCAATATTTTGTTTGCTTTTTAGTTTATAGACTGCCACTGCACATTGAGCAGATGTTTTCAAGGAACTAGCCACAAGGATTCCATGATCTTTCTTGGGTGGTAACAGCTATTTTATACCCCATCGTTTTTGTATCTATAGTTAGGATTATATTATTCTATGTGCGTTACTTTGTACTTATCAGCATTGCATTCCATCTGTCCTTTTGTTGCCCAATCACCTAGTTTTGTGAGATCCATGTGTAACTCTTTGCAGTCAGCTTTGGATTAATCACTGTTTACCTCTTTTTCAAGAACATTTATAAGAAGTTTAACAGCAGTGTTCCAAATGCAGATCCCTGCAGCACAACACTTATTCCTACTCTTCCCCTCCCCCCCTTTTAAAGTGGAGTACTTGGCAATGCTTTTATGATGATCTAACAATCCTTCAATTGCTTGAATGCCCAGCCTTTTCTTATTCTTAATCACCCTGCCTGCCTCTTTTTATAACAAACTACTTGCCCCAGAGGCAAAGCTGCAAGCAGCTCAAACTCTGTTGCATTTAAGAACTGCCTCTGGAGTCAGGACAGGGGCTTTAAGCAGACCTCAAGTATGAAATTCAGAAGTTCAAACTCAGAAGGGGAACTACAGCCTCCCTAGCCCCCAATAAATGGTGCCCTTGTCCCTGAAGCAAGTGGGAGGCATGCAGGGTCATCTGTTGCTGCTTCCTCTTTCTGCCAGCAGAGAACTGCTGGGCTGAAGGAGGACCCCACTGAGATGCTGCCTTCTGGGTCCTAGTGCTAGTCGGGCTTCCTTTTGTGTGTTGGGAGTCATTTAGTTTTCTGTACAATAGTGAATGTTCATGGTAGAGTAAGGGGGGCTGGGGTGAGAGAAATTGGGGAAGAGGGAGTGGGAAAAGAAGATGGTGGGACAGGGCTGGAAAAGGGGGATGTGGGAGTGAGGGGAGGGAGATATACAGGCAGGGGACAGTGGGGAGAGGAAGAGGGAGGAGATGAGGCAGTGGGCAAGAGGATGGGATGGGGAAGAGAAGAGGATAAAGAGAAACAAGGGAGGAGAATGAGAACATGGCAAGTGGTGCCCTTTCAGCAGCAGCAATAAATGGGGCTCCCCTATTAAGCAGAGCCTATTGAACCCCCACCCCAGGGAATTTCATGCCCTTACACCTGGGCCATCCTGATCTTCCCCACATTCAAACCCTCACCACTGAGCCCCACTCCCCTAGCATCCAAACACTAACTTGCTGAATTCCCCACCCCCAAACATCCCCTTTCAAGTCCCCCCACCCCCATAGCCAGATCCCTTCAGATGAGCTGCAGCCTGCCTCACCTGGGCACCCTCAGCAGAGTCCCATTGCCCTTGCACCTGAACCTCCTCTCACCCCACCCGCATCCAGATCCTCCACACTAAGTGCCAGATTGACCGCACATAGAACTCTTACCCCATACTGGGATCCCCCCACTAAGCCCCTCTACACTTGGATCCTGCTAGGCTGAGCCTGCCTGACCGCACCTAGTGTGCCTGGCGCAGAGGAGCAGGGCCCTGGGTTGTTTCTGGGGCAGGCCAGCCCTTGCACTGTCAGGGTTGGGTGCAGCCTCACTGCCGAGTCCCTGCCAGATTGACCGCACATAGAACTCTTACCCCATACTGGGATCCCCCCACTAAGCCCCTCTACACTTGGATCCTGCTAGGCTGAGCCTGCCTGACCGCACCTAGTGTGCCTGGCGCAGAGGAGCAGGGCCCTGGGTTGTTTCTGGGGCAGGCCAGCCCTTGCACTGTCAGGGTTGGGTGCAGCCTCACTGCCGAGTCCCAGTCCTCTGAAATACCAAGTCCAGCCGTGCCAGAGCTCAGCCCTGACAAGGCCTGGTGCAGATTAAGCACTGTATGCAGGGCCATTGAGGTCATGCTGTGTATAATCTCATTGATTTCAGTCGTATTGTGTAAGGCAGAATTGGAAAAACTTTCCCCTGCCTTCACTTGGAACACCAGCGAGACAGATCTCACAAGCACAGACATAACAATGGGTGGTGAAGGCTCTTTTATTTTATTTAGGGGAAAGGAGAGCTAATATAAGAACCTGTCAGAAGGGGTCTCCGCTTCTACCAGTTTAAGTGATCATATTAACCCAGACAATACATTTGTGGTAGTTTCTGAGAGCTGCATTATTAGAACAGTTGAAGGGAAGAAAATCACACCCATGTAGTCTGATGCCATTGAAACCTATGCAATGGCTACATTGTAGGAAAGAAGTCACAGCTAGGCCAAGTCCTAGTCTTCCCAGCACATTTTACCTACAACTGAGAGATACTGAAGACAGGGTAAAACAAAGGGCTAAACAACTAATTCTACATCTTGAACCAATAAGGTGTTGCAATAATTGTGCAACCTTCATCCTGCAAAGCAGAATTGTATCTACAGTCCAGCCCTCAACAGAAAAAGAAATAAGGAACATTTCATAATCATGAACCCAGTCCAGCCACAATGGCATGGGAGGAAGCCATGTTATTGGAAGAAAGAATTAAAAAGTGTAACAAGGTACCAGAAATGCCAGGCACCCACCTAAGGCAGGAGCAGAGTCTAGCTAGCATGGAAACAGGCACTCGAGCAGTCTCTCAGAATGTCAGGGCTCCAGCGGGGCTGACAGCCACCATGGGCCCCAAAGCAAGGTGGGGGGCTGGCTCCGTGCCCCCAGAATGGTGGGGCTGTGGGCAGAGCTTCAAACAGTCAGCCGTTAGTGCATTCCTCCCCCCCAGCCCTCCGAGACACACAGAATGGTGCCTGGGTCTCTGGCCACTGCCGCTGCCACAGTAGCAGCATCCAGGAGCTCTGGGCCCCTTTGAATCTCCCGGCCCGGGGGCTATTGCCCCCTTTGCCCCTTCCTGTCAGTGGGCCTGCAGAGTACCAACCAGTTAGGAATAGCTGCTGGCCTGCTCCCTGACTCATTGTGCCGGCAGGCAACCAGGGAACCTCACTGCACCGCACTAAAACTCAGACTGCCTCAGCCACTCATGGCTGCTGCTTTAGCAGTCTTGTTTAAGGGCCAGGCCCCCCCAGCAGTTCGGTGTTCCTCAGTACCCTACCATGCCCTTCAGTTCTAGTATTTGGCTTCTGTCTCGCCAGTAGTGACCCTCAAGCTCATATCCTGGACTCCACACGCCTGGGACCCAGCTCTAAATGGTAGGATGAACTTTTGCCATCACCATTAGGCATGACCACCCACAGCCTGGTTGGCAATACAGAACTACAAGGCAATGGGAATGATCCCTGCCAGGTTGCGACACTAGCAAGCCCATTTCTCTTATGAACCTATACACCTGCCTTGCTCTTCACTTGCCAGAGCCCTAGTTGAATGTCCTGGAATCTGTCACAAGCCTGCAGGTGATTGCCTCTGATGACTCGTCACACTGTCTGGCTTGGACAAAGCTCAGTTTCAGAGGTAACTCAAGGCTGACATCACACAAGGTGGAAATCATCATTGACATCTCCTGTTTCCAGTGTCAAGGGTGGGTAGGGCTGAGGGTCTGAGCAGTTTCAATCTAGGCGTGGTATGAGCTGCCATTTGAGACTGTTCAGTAGTTTCTTTGATGGTTTTATGGACTCTGTCGCACCACTCTCTCCTTGGAGGTCCACAGCCTCTCACCGAGCACTCTTCTATGGAGAACAGTTGGTGTGGCAGTCCTTGTTGCAACACGGCTAATCCATTGTAATTGATGCTCTTGAGTGAATATAGTCAAGTGTTACAGATATCCTCATTTCTCAGTGTATCTAGTCTTGTCCCTCCTAGTATATGGCCCAGCACCTCACTTCAAATGCTTGCAGCTTTTGCTCCAGATGCTTTCTCAGTACCTTAAAGCAATGTGGGTACAATTAATGTAGCATATAATCTGGTTTTAGCTGTCATGGAACCAGAAAGTGGGGTGGGGAGGGAGAGAGCACTTCCTTACAAAAAAAATCAAAACAAAAAAGAAAAAACATAGTGGTAATGCCACTATACAGGATACAGCCAAACAAATGTGCTGCAAGAACAGTTGATCAAGGGACAAGTTCTGCTTTCCGGTAGTTCAGGAAGTTCCTGGTACAACCCATGGGGGTTGTCCATGTATATCTTAGGAAGGAATTGGACCCAAACTGCACTTTATGTACTAAATTATACTTGACTTCTGGATAGTCTGCCTCTTTTGCTCTTGAGGGCTGGGTTTCATCATCTGCATCACCTGGGTGAAACCACTTCCTCCGTTACTGGATGAAGAGTTGAGGTGCTGATGCAAGTGGATATGTTGGCTTAAATGCCACTGCCTCCATTTTCTGTGAATTTCCAATTGAACCTAAGCAATAAGGTCACAGAACATTTTAGTCAGTGAGTTGTGTAGAACCTTGCAGTGCAGGAAATTGGCACAATGGACAAAAAAGAGACAGTTCTCTTTACTCAAAGCTTATTGTTTGTTCCAGTGAAATATTCTTTATTTAGCCCCCAGTTTAAGAATGGATGTAGTATTGGATACCACTATTTTATTGCATTTTGGTTAGAGCTGGTTAGGAATTTTCTTAACACTTCTGTCAGAAAAGGGTAAGTCTTGGTTTTGATAAATTTCCCATTTTGAATTTTAACTTTCTAAATTATGGGGGGAAAACTGGTTTTGATATTTTCAGAATGAAAAGTTCCCATTTTTGTTCTTGAAATAGCTGTTTTCATTTAGACATGTAAACAGATTTTATCATTTCAAAAATCTTTTGATATTTACGAGAAACATTTTGATTGACCTGATCCAAAATTGTTTTCAGATTTTCAGTTAATGAATATATGATATTTTGCTTTCGGGTGGGGGGAAAACTGGTTTTGATATTTTCAGAATGAAAAGTTCCCATTTTTGTTCTTGAAATAGCTGTTTTCATTTAGACATGTAAACAGATTTTATCATTTCAAAAATCTTTTGATATTTACGAGAAACATTTTGATTGACCTGATCCAAAATTGTTTTCAGATTTTCAGTTAATGAATATATGATATTTTGCTTTCGGGGG